CACACACACACACACACACACACACACACACACACACACACACACACACACACACACACACACACACACACACACAAAAAAAAAAAAAAAAAAAAAAAGAAAAAAAAAAGAAAAAAAAAAGGATGGGGTCAGGACGTGTACAACATGCTAACGCTGCTCCCCAGCTCCCAAACATCACTCGAAAATGGTCTCACTGTCGGACAGAGCTTGATGCGCCGTGTCTTGAGCAATGTGCAGCTGATCAGCGGGAAGCCGAAGCAAATACGCGTACAGCCGAGACCGATCTTGCTCGTGTACAACACCACGACATGTCCTACGCAAACAAACCGGGCAAAATGCAAATCAAGCAACGTCCCAAGTACACAGGAGTGAGAGACGTGAAGAGCACCACGACCGTAGAACACAGATGCTCACCTGCACAACAAATCAAAGTATTCTGCCTCGCTGGCTTCAGCTCCAAGAGCAGTGGATGATCCAGACGAAGACTGCACGTTGCGAAGAGTGGGCGGCGCGGCACCGGGGGATGGGGTGGCCAGTGGAGAAGAAGGCTCGGTGGAGGGGAGACGACGAACGGCGTTCGGTCTTGGTGGGATGGCGGGGGCTGCCGGATCCCGGGGCGAGCTAACCAGGGCTGGAGACGGTCCGTTGCTGCTGTGGTGTAGTGTTTGGGAGACGCCAGAGTGGCTGGCGGACTCTCCATCCATGTCCGAGCCGTTGCTAACTAAGCTTTGCGCTGAAACTGAACTGGAGATACCAAGGCCGCTGACCCGCGAGATTCCAGAGCTACGCTGCGAGTGTACCGCCAGCGATGTCGGAGGCGTTGGCAGCATGTCCAGCAGCTCACCAACGGTTGTGCCAATCAGGTCGGACACGTCAACTGGGCGCATTTTTGTGTTTTGCTCGGTTTGAAGGTTTGTTCTGGGGTTTCGTTCCGGGTCCTGGATGATCTTTGTTTCTTGGTTTGGATGACAGAGGCTCGTCCTTTGGCTTGAGGAGAACGACTATTAGTGCCTTTTGGAAAAAACCCTTTTCAAAGCAGAACTCGTCGGGGCTTGAAGCACACGTGAAAAACCTGCATGCGATTGGGACGTACAAGCAACACAAAGGCGACCAAAGAGTCAGTTGTCAGATCAATGTCGATCCGAGTCAGATCAATGCATCATCATGAGAGTGGTAAGCAAGAATTTCCGCAATTCCATTTCGGATGATGAAGGTTTCGGTTTTGACGTTTGATGCGTGTTGTAGCCCCGTCCAAGCAACACACCCACATCCGATGAGAAGGCATCGAGTGTTCTCCTCATAGAAGTACACGCGACTCTGGTGGCGAGGAAGCTCAGCGGAAATGAAAGAAAGATAGACGAGGAAAAAACAGTCGGCTGGAATCATCACCATTTTACCAAAAAAAAAAAAAAAAAAAAAAAAAAAAAAAAAAAAAAAAAAAAAAAAAAAGGAAAGGATCTCTGTTATGTTTTTTTCAATTCAATTTGAGCAAAAGGAAAGACGAGCCGGAATCAGAGCTCAAGGAGTGCGGACATGGCGACTGCTCCACAAGCGAGATGAGCAGAGGCGCACACGCATGGAGTGTCGTCTGGTCGACAGGTCACGGGGGGTGGCAGTGGTTGGTTGAGGGGAGAAGCGGCAGTTCGCGGTTTGGGGCCAATCTTTGACTTTGCTCGCTTGGGATGGCGGCGCACAGACGAAGGGGCCGAAGAAGAAGGGAGATGCGCGAGCCTCATGGTCGCAATGGCCGATGTGTGCATGTGCCGATGGTGCATGACGAAGGGGCGAGTTGAGGTCGTGCAAAATCATATCAAAGCAAACGACCAACTCACAAAAAAAGAATGAATTTTGCTTCTTTACCATTTGGACGTGAGTGCGTTGTCAGATCCGATGCTATGACGCTCACTACCTCTGTGAATGGGCCATCATTCGAGGTTGGTGATTACTTTGTGTGGCTGTTCCCTGATTTGAGAGAGAATCGGCGAAAATTCAACCTTGTTTGAACAAATTTCGCATCGCCTTGCGGCAACGAGCTGTCTCGACGAGTGCTTGCACAACGCGCCTTACTGTGACTCTTGCAACATTCATGCCATCCTCAGAATCCCGGCTTTGATTTGGGGGGGGGGGGCGCAGTCGACCTTTGTGAAATCAACAACCAGAAACATGCTGAGTTTGCTGCGTCCAGCATTGTAAGTTTTTCTGCTCGCTCTGTGCGCCACTCACTTGAACGACCTTCCACGCTTCTGTGGTCGCAAAATGCAAGATTCGCCTTTGTGTTCTCGAGTACAGCGTTCGGGTGGCAACGCGATGAGGGCAAAAGTGGGAGAGGGCAGTGAAGCATGGATGGCGCTGCATTCGCTTCCGTTGCATTGGGCTCTTCTCTCTCTCTCTCTCTCTCTCGTCGCCCCCCTCCGCTACCGACCCCAACACCACCCCATTATCTACCACCATCATGACCAACTTTGTCATTGTCCACCGCATTCGCTTTTGTTGATGGAGAGAGAGAGACAGTGGCGTTTTTGGCTTCAGATCTCTCTTTTTTTTTTTTTTGTTTCTTTTTCAGTCCCTTCTGCCCCTTCTCTTCTCTCCCTCCCGCACACTCTCGCTGTGAAACAGTCACTGCAACCACTTCTCCATGCCTTCCGCTTCCCGTCTGCCACTCTCACTTGCAGCGTCGTTCAATAACATCAACTCAATGTTTTTGTGCTTTTTTTTTTTTTTTCCCTTTCGATTTTTTCCCCTCCTTTGTTTTAGAGCCCGCACGGTGGCCTCGCGCATGGCTTCGACCTCTGCTCCGGCTGCTGCAGCTGCCGCGGCAGTCGCCGTCACGCCCGCCTTGCCCCAGATGCGCGGCGCCGTCGAGCCCGCAGCCGCCGTCTCGAAGAAGATTGGCGAGTGGAAGCCGACCGTCTACTCGCCACCGCAGACCTTCTATCCGCCGCTGGCCGACACGGAGGCCGCCCCGTACGTGCCCGAGCGTCACGTCTCAAACTACACGATGAACTTTGGCCCCCAGCACCCGGCCGCCCACGGTGTGCTGCGTCTCGTTCTCGAGCTCGACGGTGAGGTCGTGCACCGCGCCGACCCCCACATTGGCCTGCTGCACCGTGGCACGGAAAAGCTCATCGAGTACAAGACCTACACCCAGGCGCTTCCGTACTTTGACCGTCTCGACTACGTCTCGATGATGGCCAACGAGCAAGCCTACTCGCTTGCCGTCGAGAAGCTCCTCAACATCCAAGCACCCCCGCGCGCGCAGTACATTCGCGTGCTCTTTGGCGAGATTACTCGTCTGCTCAACCACATCATGGCCGTCACCACCCACGCCATGGATGTCGGCGCGCTGACGCCCTTCCTCTGGATGTTCGAGGAGCGCGAAAAGATGATGGAGTTTTACGAGGTGAGGCTGCGGTTTGATGGCTGATCTGTTGGTGTGATGGGTTGCGGGTAGTGTGCTCGTGTGCAAGGGAGGGGACGGACAGAGTCTGGTTATTGGCACACTTTTTGTTGTTGTTGTTGTTGTTGTTGTTGTTGTTGTTGTTGTTGTTGTTGTTGTGGTTGTTGTTCCACGTTTGTTTTTTTTCTCACTGTTTCCGGCTTCCGGATTTTCGTTTCACGCTTCCTCTTGTCTCCTACTAGCGTGCTTCTGGCGCCCGCCTCCACGCCGCATACGTCCGACCGGGCGGTGTCGCCCTCGACCTTCCTCTCGGCCTGATGGAGGACATTTACAACTTTATCAAGCCATTCTCGTCTCGCATTGACGAAATGGAGGACATGCTTACCGAGAATCGCATCTGGAAGCAACGTCTTGTGGATATCGGCATTGTCACTGCTCGCCAGGCCCTCGACTGGGGCTTTTCGGGTGTCATGCTCCGTGGCTCTGGCATTGCCTGGGATTTGCGCAAGGTCCAGCCGTACGATGGCTACGAGAAGTTTGTGAGTGGTCGATGCTATTCGTTGACATTTGCGCTGGGTTGGCTTTGCGAGCGTTTTTTTTTTTTTGACCCTAAATCGCTATTCTGCTTGCTTTTTCTCTTTTCTCTCTTTGCAGAAATTCGACGTCCCTGTCGGCAAGCGTGGTGACAGCTACGACCGATATCTCTGCCGTGTCGAAGAAATGCGCCAGAGCATCCGCATCATTATGCAGGCCCTGAACGACATGCCAACTGGCGAGGTTCGCATTGACGACAACAAGATTACACCTCCGCGCCGTGCCGAGATGAAGGAGTCCATGGAGGCGCTCATCCACCATTTCAAGCTCTTCACTGAGGGCTATGTCGTCCCTGCTGGCGCGACCTACACTGCTGTTGAGGCCCCGAAGGGCGAATTTGGCGTCTACCTCGTTTCGGATGGCTCGAGCCGTCCCTACCGATGCAAGATCCGTGCTCCAGGCTTTGCCCATCTCGCAGGCCTCGACTTTATGTCGCGCGGTCACATGATTGCTGACGTTGTCGCATTGATTGGCACCCAAGACATTGTGTTCGGCGAGGTCGATCGTTAATTTTTGTTGTCAATCCTTTTTTTCTCTTTGTCACGACTTGTTTTTTACATTTTGTTGTTTCTACCAATATAAGTGTTGGCCATATCTTCCCACCTTTTTGTTCGTTTTGATTGAGTTTGTTTGGGAGATTTCCAAAACGAAACGTGCTGCAATCGGACGCCACGATGCTTGAAGCGGTGCAAAGTCAGGCAAAAGCAAGCAAAGTCACACTAGTAGTGCTTGCCTCCTGGTACGTGACAGAAAGGTCTGCGTTTGTTGTCGAAATCGCCTTGTCCGACTCACAATACTCACTACTCGATTCCTTCATTGAGATTGCAAATCACAAAGCAGTGCAGATATATTTCTTTTACAATAGGAAGCCCCGTTGCTGGAGTACAGCTCGAGAACTTGCACTCCAAGTTTAGTTCATCATCTGATGGACAGTCTGCGCAAGCTTGAGCATGGGGTCGACAAGCTTGGAGGTAATGCCGGAGGCACCGCTCTTCTCAAGCAAAAAGTTGCACTTGGTCTCGCAGTTGCCGGCGGGCAAGGCAAAGATGGAGGCAGTCTGGTTGACGACGTTGAAGTTGCCAAAGTTCCAGTGGACGCCAGTGGGGCTGCGTTTTGTTTTTCGGTCACCAGATCCACAAACAAAGAGCGAGCATGATGTGAGCCACGCAATGCATTGCGGGGGTGTCTCCAAAGCATTCGTTTCGAGAACTCACCCGTCCTGGAACTGAACATCAACCTCGCTCGAGACATCAGTCCAGTAGCCAAAGTCCTCAATGCCCTTCCAGTGGTAGGTGTTGTGGCTGACGCCATAGTAATCCTTGATGATCTGGGTCGAGCCAGAGTAGTTGAAGCCGCCCAAAAAGTTCGGGGGGACCTGCCGACAACAACACCAACAATGGCAAAAAGCACAACCAAGCAAGTGAGACAATGCCATCCGTCGACACAATAACACATGAAACGCGCTGCGTTACAGTGCCAACGCCGTCCTGGAACAGGCAGCAGTCAATGCCGTTCGCGGGCGAAGCAAGGTAGATGGCGGGCTTGGCAGTAAAGTACAGCTTGCACGGGTAGAAGACGGCGTTCCAGTGAGCCTGACCAAGCAGAGGGGGGATTTAAGAGTTGAAAGTGAGCGTTTTTAAACGAAACAGTGCAAAGAGGCACAAGCCGAGCCGGCAGCGCGGGCCCCGCCGATCGTCGGAGTTACATTCAACAGCGACGTAAACGGATCTCAGACACGAGACCCGCACCCACTCACGCACTCATCCACCTACCCACCCGCCGGAGAGGACCTCGTCTCATCTCATGTGCGAAACGACAAGGACAAATGCTCGAACAATGCCGAGACGCACAGTTGGAGACCCCCCTTCTCGGACAAAAGCAGCCGACGGAAAAAGAGCAAAGAGCGAAACGAATAAATGGCGCCAGAACCGGAAGCGACAAAGAGCAGCTGACCGCCGTCCGACCGTCCCGCGACGAGGCTCAGCACGATCGGAAGCAAAGAAGGGAAGAAGGAGCCACAAGACAGAGAGAGAGAGAGAGAGAGAGAGAGAGAGAGAGAGAGAGAGAGAGAAAGAGAGAAAGAGAGAAAGAGAAGACGAGCACTTCATAGAACGAAGAACGAAAGAATCAATAAGAAGAAGCAATTGAAAACAACAAAGTTGATCAATAATAATAAAAAAAAAAAAAAAGCGGAAGCGGAGAGAAAAAGCAAAAAAAGAATCAATCAAAAAGATTTTCAAAAGTCGAAAATTCAAAAACAAGAGAAGCCACGCAACAGCGAAGAAGAAGAAGATTAAGAAAGAAGGGGAAGGGAAGGATGAATAAGAAGGGAAGGACGAAGGGGGGGGGGGAAAGGACGAAGGGGGAAAGGAACTTACGAGGGGGAAGCAGTGCGTGTCGTACTGGATGACCTGCGCCTCCAAGTCAAAGTTGTAGTAAAAGTGCGAGCTCGCGTTGTTGATCAGCGTGCCGCCAACCCAGTTCAGCCCGAACGGCACATCGAACTGGATGGGCCAGATCGGCTTCTCGGGATCAGCTGCAGGGGCGAGCGGCGCCGCAATCGCTGCGCACGCAACAAGCGCCAGAACCAGACCAAAAGTGGTGGCGGACTTGAGCATTTGTGTTTTCTCAGAAAAAAAAAAAAAAAAAAAAGAAAGACTGAGTTTGACTGAAATTGAATGTAAAAATGCTTGAAACGGCACACAAAAAACAACTCAGAGTAGGCCAGTCATTGTTGTCTGCACTCACTACGATTATGACAGAAAGCAACATTGTGCGCATTGGAACCGGCGCCGGATTCGCGGGGGACAGGCCGCTGCGGGCGCTGGAGCTCGTCCTGGCCCAGCAGGTGGCAGCGCAGCCGTTGGACTACCTCGTGCTCGAGTGCCTGGCTGAACGGACGCTGTCGCTGCGCTACCGAGCCATGCAATCGGGCGGCGTCGGATACGATCCCAGAGTCGCAGAGTGGATGCGCGTGCTGCTTCCTGCGACCGCGAGCAGCTCGACCTGCATCGTCACCAACATGGGCGCAGGTTGGTCTGGCATTTATGGTTGCTTGGGTTGGTTCCGGGGGGGGGGAGCGGATGGCGGGCCGGACAAAGTACCAATCTCAGGTTGATTTTGGCTTTGCTCGTTGCTCATTCTCGATTTACTCACTCGGTGTGATATGACATCTGTGCGCATCACTACAAACAATTGCGTACTCGTCTCCATGGCACAGCCGATCCCAACGGAGCAGCACTGGTCGTTCGCCAAGTCGCGCAGTCGCTCAACTTGCCGCCGTTGCGCATCGCCGTTGTGGGGGAGAACTTTGCAGTGACTGCAAACGAGACACCAGCCACGACTACTTCTACTACTGCTACTACGACACCACTCATCTCGAGCACATACCTGGGTGCAGATGCAGTGCTCGCGGGTTTGCGAGCTTTTCCGAACGAGAAGCCGCACGTTGTGATTACAAGTCGCGTTGCCGACCCAAGTCTGTTCGTCGCGCCAGTGGTGCACCACTTTGGATGGTCGCTGGATGACTACCCGCGGCTTGCGCAAGCCACTGCCATGGCACACTTGCTCGAATGCGGCTGCCACTTGACGGGCGGATACTTTTCGCATCCGGCAGCCGTCGACCTGTCCCATTCCCAGCTGGCTCACACTTCGATGCCCTTCGCCGAGTGCGATGCGAACGGCCTTGTCACTTTGAGAAAGCCTGCCAACTCACTCGGCGAGCTGTCGGCCAGGACCTGCGCCCAGCAGCTCGTGTACGAGATTGGCGATCCGTCCGCTTACATTACTCCGGATGTCACAGTCTCCTTTGCGAACGTTTCCTTCGAAGCACTCTCGCCGCACGCTGTGAAGCTCTCCGGAGCCAGCAGCACGGGTCGCTCTCCGACGTTGCTGCGAATGACGCCCGCTCCCGCAGGTCACAAGGGGTTTGGTGAAATTTCGTACGGCGGGTTTGGCTGTGTCAAGCGTGCTCATGCTGCGCAGCTGCTTGTGCGCGACTGGATGGCTCAGCAGTGGCGTTGGCTCGGCCTCGATGACGCTGCCGTCGACGCCAAGCTGTCGCGCATTGCGTCCTACTTGATTGGGCTGAACAGTCTCACTTTGCTTCCAAGCATGAATTCTATTGGATCTGGTGCCGATCTCGGTGTTTCAGAGCCCCCAGAAGTGCGATTGAGGTAAGGTCGCCACCCCCTCCCCTTCCTTTTGGAGGCAGAACGGTTTTTTAATGGTTTTTGTTTTTTGTATACTGTAGCTCATCCTTCCATTTGATGCGTTTTTTTAATAGGATGGATGGGATCTTTACCAACTTGGATGACGCTCAAATGCTGGCGCGTGAAGTCGAGGCACTGTACACCAACGGCCCCGCAGGCGGCGGCGGAGTCGTCACAAACACGCAGCCAGAGCTCAAACTCCAGCGCACTCTGGTGCCCCGCGACAGTGTCTCGTTCTCGGTGCAATCGCTTCATTCCACAGGTCCGACCGACACTACGCGTGCCACAGAGTACAATGCTACAGCAGAACTGTCGAAATTGAGCAGTCGTGCGCCTCGACAATCCGAGACTGCATTGTCCAACAATTTGCCTTCAACGCCAGCCCCAGCGAACGTCTCCATTCCTCTGTATTCCTGTGCGCACTCGCGTGCCGGTGACAAAGACAACCGCATCAACATTAGCATCATCCCGCACCACTTTGCCGATCTTGGCCGGCTGGCTGCTGTCGTCACTCCTGACTGGGTGCGCGCTCGGTTTTCTTCGCTTCTGGACGGTCTCGGCGAGCTTGCTCAAAATCCCGAGAGCGGCAACTTTGCAACGCGCGATGCCACCTCGTCGGTCAACGTGAGTGTGTACACGCTCCCTGGCTGCGGAGCCTTGAACGTCGTGATTGATGGCGTTCTGGACGGTGGTGTTGCCGTTTCACGCCGCATCGATCGGCATGGCAAAACGCTGTCTGACGTGATGCTTGCATTGCATGTGACTCTTCCGTAGAACAGAGTAAATGTATTGTAGAATTATTAACACGAAGCCAGGAGGGGATTGTTGTTGATTTTGAGCGGTTTCTGCACGGCAGCCCTTTGAGCAAAGCCTCCCGCACCAAATTTCCTCTTGTTGAAAAGGGGCAATCTTATTAGTTTGCATGTAGCTTGGCGACTCGTGTAGAGCCCACCATTGCAAAGAGTAAAACCACAACGCAAATGAAGGAAACTCCGATCGTGACAATCACCACGACATCCGTGTGCCCTGTGAGACCCACTGGTACGCGAAACACAATACCGGGTGCATCCTCATGATGCAATTCCATCGCAACCTTTGTCGAGACGAACGGAAGGGTTGTGTTTCGCGAAACGTAGTTTTGAAGCGCTTCGGCAATCTCTGCATCCGTGGGTGCTGCAATGCCACTGCTCCATGAGCAGTAGGATATTAGCACCCCTTCGTCTGATAACGCTGCTGTCGCAAAACCCCCTTCATTCGGCTGCTGGTAGCGCAGATGCAGGCGCCGGCGCAGACAGACTGCGAGCTCGCATTCGAGTTCATTGCAAGTCACGACTGCCTGTGATCCGGACGCCACTTGGTAGTCTGGTACAGCATAGGCCGGTTGTTCGATATCAACATAGCTGGCGTCGGCCACCATGACCGGAGCGCCGCACAACGACGATTCGTCAGCGCCTGCTGAGCGCAAGATTGCATTCTCGTCCAAGTCGACAAAGACCTCGCGCGGGAGGCGTTCGCTGACACCCAGCAAGCACCACTGAGGCGCCTTGAGCTTGTCTTGGCGATCGATGGTGACGCGCAGTGTGGAGAGCAGCGTGCGATGCGCGCCCAATGGTGCTCCATCAACAGCAGAATCGAGCTTGGATTGCATTGACGCTGCAGCACCATGGTGCAGCTGATGTGTGTGCGCAAGTGCACGTTGACAGGGCGCCAGTAATACGAGCACAATGAATAGCAGTCCAACGTTGAAGTACGAGCGGTGCTTGAGTGACTTGACAGTGTCTGAGCGAGCGAGATTGGTTCTCAATGGAGTCATCATTCTCTCAGAGTTTCTGAGCCAAAACAAAAAAAATGAGACTGAGCAATTTGATTCAGAGACGATGCGGTTCAAAAAGCGTCTCCTGTTCGTACCCAGAGCGAGTCTTGGCCAATGTATTGAATTGGCATTGGAAGTCACTCTTCATTTCTCAGACGAACGCATCTCTTTGCAAGTCTTTCGCTTAATCCAAAAATCCCTAACATTTTTTCCAGTTCAACGTATTGTAAACGAATGCCTGCGCAACGCTGGACGAGCGCTGAACTGTACGACGGCGACGACGACGACGACGAGGACGCGGAGGAGCAGCCAGTTGTGCGCAATGGAGTTCAGCCAGCGACCAAGTCAACCAGCAACACGACTCAGGGCAACCCGCCAGTGCTCGTGTCGCGCATCCAGGCGCTCTTTGTTCTACGGCGGTTTGACAGTGCCATGGACGAGTGCCGCCGCGCGCTCATCCAGCTTACACGGGCGACGACGAGCGGGGCGGACTCGGTTCACACGCCTCCAGCGCGCTCCCAAGCGACTACTACTACTGTGACGACTACGACTGCTGCTGCTGCTGCTGCTGCTGCGAATGGCGGTCGTGGACTGGCTGGCTCTGGCTCTGGCTCTGATTCGCGCTCCGGCTCTTTGGCTGCTCCCGTCGGCAACCACTCGGCTCAATGCAGGTACACTATACATGCACACTGTGCAATCACATCGTCGTCTTCACAGCTGGATAACTTTATCGTCTCGCTGGCTTGATGTTCATTCAATTTTGTGCAAAGTTCGCTCACGTCTGAAACTCTGATTTGTCTCCAATTGTCACGACAGCCCGACATGCGAATGTCTACCGTTTGCAGAGGTGTACTGCATGCTGGCAACACGAACGCACCAGACCTCAACGCTATTGCCGTTCTTTGAGTCCGTGTATGGCAGGCCAGACGACGGCAGCGGAGTGTTTGACTCGGTTTGCTGCCATCTCCCTCCTCGAGTTGTGATTGCAGTGTAAGTGCAGCCAGCGGACAACAATACTGGACGAACGCTTTGTCATTGGGGCTCACTTGCGGACTTCCCACTCCAGTGCTACCGCTTTGAAAGTAGAAAACGACAGCCCTGCTGCCAAATCTCTGCTCGAGCTGTACTTGGTGGGCGCCGACTTTAGTCGGTGGGGCCTGGACGGAGCGCATCAAGACCAGTACGAGCGACTCGTCGAGCTGTACACGTTGCACGTACTTGCGCCGGCTGGGCTTTTGACCCAAGCAACGGCATTTCTCGAATCCAACACGGCACTCAATGACGAGCGGCGGCAGGTGAGTTGATGCTGTTCTGCCAGTAGCCGCTGTTTTTCGCAAATCCCTCTGACGCGCGCACTTTGCTTGTTTGTTGCTTTCGAACACACACAAAAAAAGCTCTACATGTCATGCGTCGATCGCGTGCGTCAGGAGAAAGCGCTTGCTGCACAACTTGCAATCGAACTCCAGCGGAGCTCTACGGCTGCTCAATCGCACCCCTCTGGCGCCGAGTCTTCAGTCGCAATGCCCTCGTTGACCAATGGGGATCGCAGTGCCAGCCGTACCCAGCAGCCGCCAGCGCAGCCGCAGCAGTCGTCGATTCTCGCCCCGTTGCGAGCCACTCAGCCAGCGGCAACAGCTTCTGGACTGCACCAAACCCTTTCCGTATTTCGCCACCTGCTCAGGTCTCCCGTCGGATTGGTGCGCACGGCTGCAATGGGTCTTGCGCTTTTGTGTTTGATTTCGATTCTTCTCGTGCTTCGGCGACGCGGCTGGACCGGTCGCACTCTCCTCTGGCCACTCCTATGGCTCTGGCGTGAGCTTAGCAGTGCATTTGCCATGGCTTTCAGTCCGGACGCTCTGCGGTGAGCGAGCGAGTCGAGTCAGCAAATCTTGCTGTCAGACACTTGTGAATTAGCCATCCAACGATTCGTTGTGCCGCCATCTGTCGTTTGAAATTTCAGTTCATCCCCAAAAAGGATTGTATTTACAAAAACAACACCATGAATACGCTGCCACTTCAGTCCCCCCTTTGTGTGTGTCAGTGCTGAACATGGCAACTCAGACAGTCCCGGCAATCCCCGCCAACCAGAGCAGCAGCAACAAGCCTGTTGACCTCTTCCGCAACACCCATGTGCGGTATCTTGGTGAGTCGAAATCTCCTTTTCCTATTTGAACCGAACAAAAATCCAGGATTTCTGAGCCAATTCTGAGCAGCTTTTTGCCAAACGCTTCACCAATCACCAATGGACTTGCCACTGGATTGACATTGTCTTTGCCTTGCATCCTTTTGTGCCTCACATTCAGGCTATGCGAACGAGCTTGGCGAGGCCTTCCGTGCATTCATCCCAGTGCAGCTGGTGCGCGCGTCGTACGTGGCTGCGTTCGGCTACGGCCTTGCAGACGCGACCCACAAGTCGCTCGCTGGGTATGCGCGGCAGTCGCCTGCCAGTCACACTGCTGCAATCAAGGCAGCCACGGCGGGCGTCCCTGGCCTGAGCAGCATCTCGCCAACGGGCATCCAGGCGATCGAGTCGTTTGTCGACACGGCCCTGTGGCAGACTGCAGCCACCGTCCTCATCCCGGGATTCACCATCAATCGCACCTGTGCACTCACGAGCTTCCTGCTGGCTCGGTACGCGCCAACGGTCGGCGAGGGCATGCGCAAGGCAATGACAACCGTCGTCGGGCTCGGCGTCATCCCGCTCATCATTCACCCAATCGACTCGTTCGTGGACCAGACAATGGACAAGACGTATCGCGCATGGGTTAAGGAGCATCTCTTTGGCGAGAAGCCATGAGCATTGGTTGTGCATCATCGAGTCCATTCAACTACAGCAAATTGCTTCAAGCTCATCATTCATCCAGCCATTCACTTAAACACAATTCATTGTTCTAGATGTTGAATCGCAATGCAGCAGACAAGCACAACAAGGTTAATCAGTCCCATCGGAGGACAGGAGCAACGATGGTTTGAAAGGAAACGCGACAGGACTGCCAAAGAAAATACAAACCCCCCCCTTCTCTGCCTCATATAACAGTCGACACAAAGAGGCTGACGAGGAGACGCTCACTTTGCAGGAGCAGGCTGAGCAGCCAGGCTGGAGTTGCTCTTTTGAGAACGCATCTCGGGCTGCGAGCTTTCAGCCGGGAGGTCTGCACTGCCGCGATGCTTCAGCATGACCACTTGGTTCTTGTGCGAGATGGTGATGGTCACAATGGATTGCATCCACGGCTCGCCATCGATTTGCATGGGAAGCAGCTTGGTGGTGGTCAGCTTGATGACCGAGCCCTGGGCAATCTTGTGAGCCGAGCCAGCAAGGCCACTTCGAATGCGACCCTAATGCGAGCAGAAGGGAAATAGAGCAAGGCCACAGGTAAATGAGTCAACGAGAAAAATCGTCAAAAAGGGAAGAGAAATGAAACATACCATGTGCATAGAGCTGAACAAGCCAACGATTTCAAACTTGCGATCGCCCATATCTTGCTTGCCCATCTGTGTCGAGCAAGCACGATGAAGACAAGATTCGAGCTACAGTCGGTGCGGTTCATCTTCAACAATATTGGCGAGAAGGCCAACCAACAACTGTTGCGCACCTTTTCGTCAGAGCCCCAAAGATTGGCACCGCCATACATGCTCGGGATGTTGACGACTGCAAGACCCTCCAGTGCCGGGCCGTTTGCGAGATCGATGGCTTGGCCGTCAACCTAGACTCGGAAAACCAAAAAATAAAAATCAAAAGTTAGAGAAATCAAACCCTCAAGGCTCACTCCATTCTTGCCAAACCGTCGCACCTCAAGCTGGATGTGCTTGTGCAGATTCTTGCACGAGTGCTGCAGGGCATCCTTGGTGCCAAGCTCCAAATACCACAGCTTGTTACGGGCACGGCTGTTGAACTTTTCGGGGAACTTTTCGCGCATGGTGTGGAAGCGATGCGCAATCTCAGCATCGACGCCGATCGAGAAGTAGTTGTTCACAATGTCCAGAGGAACCTTGTCAGACTCGGCATTCGGGTCTGCTACATCGAACGCCACGCTCCAGCTGCAGAGGCAGGAATTGCAACAATGGTTCAAGTCAATTTCTCAACGGTTGCAAAAACCACCACTACCACCACCACAACAACAACAGCAACAACAACAGGCGCAACACTCGACCCGTACCGATCCATCAGAACAGTTTCCGCATCGGCAATCTGTTGCAAAACGCGCTTGATCTCGCCGCCATAGCCGCCACCCCAGCCGAGAGTACGAGCAAGATCGTTGCCTGTACCGAGCGGAATCACACCGACGGGCGGAGGAGGACTTGGCAGCTTGAGCTTGTCGAGCACGGCCAGAACCCAGCCGACAGTGCCGTCGCCACCGCAGCAGATGATTCGGAGATTTGGGACATGCAGGTATTGCTTCAAGCTGTGTGGTGAGACCAAAAGGCAGTACACATGTCATGAGTTGCAGATTTCCAGCTCCCAGAACAAAGAGAAAGGAAGAGAAACACACACACACACAATCATGCCAACGCGCCAAAAAAAAAAAAACTCACCCTGCCATCGGACCGCCTTGCTGCAAATCAAACACTTGGCGCGGATTGATGAGATTTTTGAAGGTACGCAAAAGCTTGACGCCCTGGTTGCCACCACTCGCAGGATTGATAAAGACAACGATGGGAGTGGTGTTGGGAGGAGGCACAATCACGAGCGGGCTTTCGATCGTGCTGTAATCGGGCGAGCCATCAGCCACAGAGCCGGCAGCCGCTGCAGCAGCACCACCAGCAATGCTGCCAGCAGCGTCCGCAACCACGTGGTTGAGCTCACGCAGGCAGAATGCGGTCGGGGGGAGCATCAGTTGGCGGTACTGACCGAGCTCGCACACGGGCGACTGCTTCTCCTTGCAGTCGTTGTGCACCGAGAGCTTGCACCAGGCGCAACGCAAGCCAGCCAGGCCGCGTACCGAGCCGCAGTGGCCTTCGTGGCACACTGCGCAGTCGGCGTGACCAAAGTTACCCTCAACCCAATGGTGGTCGTTGGTGGAGGCATTCAGCTTGTTGTACGTGATGCGGCACGTTTCCGAGGCGTTCGGCGAGCACGCGTCGTGTGCGACGAGGCGGCATACTGAAGTGGGGTGGGGGGGGGGAAGCGAGACAGAAAGGGTGAGTGAGTGAGTGCAAGAAAAATCCAGAGACCACAAAACTCGCTCAAGAGAGAACGCTAGATTGGCAGTCACAACCCACCTTGACACACGACAGAGGACTTGTTGATGCCAATGGTCTTGGTGCAAACATTGCAGTAGCGCAACTTTTTGCTCTGGCGCAGGTACCACTGGTGGGATCCTTCCAAGATGCGCTGTTGGTTGTAGGTGGTCTGAACGAACAAAAGCAGCAATCAACCAAAGTGAGCTTTCGGACAATTCCAACAAAAAGGCTTAAATGGACGTCCAGCTTCTTTGCATACTTGATCAATGCCCAAGGCAACGAGAATCGGAGCAAACTTGGTGCCAGCCTCAATCCACTTCTCCAGGGAAATAAACCCAACGTTGGACGGGTCCATCTTGGCGAGCATTTCGCTCAACACGGGACGGATGGATGTGGTGTCATAGCCGAGGGCTTGGGACACGGCGCACATCTGCGAAAGGATGCGATCGAGTTCCTCCTTTTCAAGGACACCGTTCGAGTCCTCGTCGTAGACCTTGAACAGGACTGGAGAAGAAAGCGAACAACAAAACCCCCACGAAAATGAGAAGGAGGAACTAGTTGGATTGCGCAAACGGACCCGTGGCTCAACTTACACCGAAGCTTTTCTTCCGTCGAACCGCTCTCAAGCACGGACGCAGAGACGACGAGTTCCTTGAAAGAGACGGTGCCGCTTTTGTCTACCAAAGCGCAACGCAACATCGCATTTCGTCAGTGGGTCTTTTTCATATGTCAAGCAATCCAGAGCATGAGCATGCGTCAAGCAAAAGCGCGATCGTACCAGCATCAAACATCTCAAACAGACGGTGAACAAACGCGTCGTCCGTCTCCCACGTAAAGTATGTCTTGATGAAGCGTGCAAACTCGGCCTCGGTGAGTTCGTGGCTGGATGCAGATTCGAGCTAGTTAGCACATGCCGGCAGAACAAAACAAGCGATCCAATCACACGACTCACTGTTTCCGAGCACTCGTCTTGCTCATGTTCTCGGACAGAAGAAAGTCATTGAACTCGTTCCACACCTGCTGGAGCTTGCGCGACGAGTCTGCGATTCATCCAAAAATGAGATTTTCTCAGACACAAAAATCATTTCAGCCACCCATTTTTCTCAGCATTTCAAACAAACTCACATCGGCTGAACTCTTGCAGCTGCTTGAGCTCTGTCTCGGTGAGTTTGGACGAGCTGCCACCCATGGTTGAACTGGTCTGAGCAAGCAGCAGTCAAAATGCAGAAAGGAACGAAAAACACAAAAAAGAAAAAAGAAAAAAATGAAAAAGCCAATACATTCGACGTCACAACATCAAACACAGCTCTGTTGCGACCTTTCCGCTGCCTTTTCTTTTGGATCCCCTCCGCCAGTTCGTAAGCTGTTGTCTACACTTGTCTTGTTGTTCTCCTCTTCGTTGGATTTTTTGTATTTTTTTGAAATCGTTCTCCAGAATGCAGATCCAAATGCATTGACGTGCCTTCCTTCAATCCCTTCGAATATTTTCCAACTTTTTTTTTTTTTTTTTTTTTGAAATCGACTTGAGGTTTGGGTTTTTTGCACGAGCGAAAATGGCTCACTGTGACCAACACGCCGTCCAAACCGCCCACCGACCACCAAAAGCCACAAGCCAGCAGCAGCGGAGGAAGGAACAGACGATGCAGGACAGCAAAATGCCCCAGCTCCCTTCTTCCACCTCAAAGCCAGAGCATGGCAAAAAACCAGCCAGTCCAGATTTGGGGGGCGCGACGAGGTCGCCTTTTCGCATTCAGTCCTGCAGGTCACTGTGGCTGTGCAGACGCTTTGCCGTGCAGGCCACACACGCAGCGACGCACACACGAGAAGGGTTTTCGTGTCTTGCGCGACTCGCCGTCAAAGCCAGAGCGGGAGAAGAGGAGAAGACGAGAGGGTGATCAATGACCGCCCCAGTCGTTCGCTAGATCTTCAATGCGCAGCCGAACAACAGGGGTGACGAAGGGGGTGGTGGTGGTGTGGGTGTGTGCTGAAGAGGGACGAGACGATGCTCGCTCTTTGCTTGTCCACCTTCAGTTGTCAGTTCCAATGCTCGTCCTTTGGCTCCAAACAAGCACAAAAACGATCGAAACCAAACTTTTTTTTTTTTTTTTTTTTTTTTTTTTGGTTTGTTTGAGCGGTTTCGTGGTTCGCCAACTCTGGATCTCGTCCTCTGCTCTACGGCTTCACAAATCGCGCTTCAAACCCACACGACACAGATGTCTGGAGACTGTGTGGATTTTGCAAGCCAGCAGATTTGGAACACCCCCCCTCCATGAGAGAGACGCGACAGCGGTCAACTGAACATACTTCAAAGCAACTGAGAATGGACTGAGGTCGGTCCACCAATGTGTCGTGTAATATGGCAAAAAACAAGATGTCACGAGAACCTCTCTGAGCATTATTGTACACAAGTGTTGAGTGCTACAAGGGGGCGGGGGCGAGTAAAGGAGTTTGGATAAAAATCAAACTGTTGTGGAGTTTGTATCAAAAATCAAACTGTTGTGGAGCACCTGCTTCAGCCCATCCACCAAGCAGATGCTGCCCATAAAATCATGAAAGACAATTAAGAATTGGCGACGTATCGACCAGGAGCACGCTGGTACCTTAACAAGTAACCAACCGGGTAAACGGCAGTATTTCATATTCGCCGACGTTTGCGAACAGCCGTGGGCGCGTTAACAGCAGGATTTTCAGACGACAAGGTACTCGTGCTAGCATCAGCCTCGGATTCGGCCGGCCGTTTGGAAGGGATGGCCGTGGGTGCTTGCTGCACTGGCTGAAGCGACTCGGATTTGGGAGCAGGACGGAGTGGCGGTACGCTGCTCGGATCAAGACTCTGGGCCAACGACGATGAATGGCTTCTTGAATTGACTGACACTTTAGGTGGTGCAGTGTGTAGATGAGTGGGATCACGGCGAGGCAGGAGCGCCGCAATCGGATTGCGTGTCGCATCGTCGGGCGGAAGCGTGGTAGGTCCAGGAATGGGACGACGCCCAGCGCTCACCTGCTGGGCAGACATTAGTTGATGGTGGATGGCATGGGGAGGGTCTGTCGAGGGATACTGCGGGAAGGCAGGCCAGCGCCAATCGAGCCAAGTCGGTTGCCACGGTGCCGTCAAGCTAGCAGCCGGGTTGGGAGCAGGTTGGGCTTGAGCATTCACTGGTAGAGCAACCACGATAGATGAGGTGAGACATCGAGATTCTCTGCTGCCAGCTGGACGCTGGAGGAAAAGAACAACAAATCAAAACCTGAACATCCATTCGTACAGCGTGCGGTAACAGCGCGGCGGCGCTCGTCAAACTTTTCGCGCAAATCTGCTAGCGTTTCGTACTCGGGCGCATAGCATACATGCAATGGCGTTCCGAAGAATACGTGGCCGTCGAGTTGTCGCTTCGCGGCTCTGTTCCCAAAATTGTTGATCAAGTCAGCTCTTGCCTCTCGCCAAGACAACAGTGCACAAACTCCCCCCAACAGCCACACAAATCACCAATCCAATCTGATGAAATACCGGGCAACAGGCAGCTGAGTGAACTTGGCGAGAAACGCCTCTTGGAACTGGTCGCAGGGGTACTCGTCAAGTCGGCGCAGACTGCGATTTCATTGAGGCACAGCGACCGTGCAAGCATATCAGTGCATATCCTTGTTTTCCCCGAGAGCCTTGCTTTTGTGTGACTACTGCTTCTGGTTGAGCATCAACTTACGACTCAACTTGACCTTGCGCAGTCACCAAATCACAAAGTTGCTGCTCGAGCTTGAGCGCCGGAACACGAAGCAGCAATAAGAACTTGGACTCATCAGCGATTGTATACACCTGATAGCACAAACAGAAACAAATCGGGGGGGGGGGACAATCGCAGATGTTAGGTCGCGTTCGAGCACTGAACAACCAGACACTTCTTCGCACCTTGACGGCAGTTTCGCGACGCCCTTCGCGGTACTCGGGTCGCGTCGTGCACACTGGTATCTTGATGTGATGGCGAGGCGGCACCGCCTGCGGCTCGGCGATCGAGTCAGACGCAGAGTTTCGCTCTGAGGTCGATTCCACTTGCGTCCGCCTTGCCGTCCCACCCGTCGCAGGATTGCGCTGTTTCGCGGCAGCAGCAGCAGCAGCTTCAGCAGCGTCCCGCCGCAAATCACCGACAACCTTGCTCTTGGGCGGCGTGGTTTTGGCTTTGTTCAAAATGCTGCGTTTAGGACTGAGCTGTGACAAATTTGGATTTGGAACCCCACTCCTTCTTGTGTTCTCAGACAACACCGTCCTGCGTCGCGTCGCGTGGGGGGCCCCATAACAACCCAAAGCACATCCCGAGGACACTCTTGTTGGCGTTCACACGCTCTCCTTTGTGATGTGGTGGCTTGTTCGCAGCGTTGAGCCGGCCGGACTGCGAATGCTGGCCCTGCAGCGACATGTGCGCCAGTACTCGTCCGCCCGAGCACCGCGAGCCGTGTCGCTGAGCGGAATGGCCCGTCTCACTCTGATGCCGGATCCAGCGACGCAATCACCTGCAGATCCGGTGCAGAAGGCCTGGCTGGCGACAAACGCGCGCGGTTTCGCTCTTGGCAGGCCGCCGACCGCGCCTGCGCCATCGTCATCATCATCGTGGCCAACGACGCCGCTCGAGCCATTCCCGTCCAAGAAGCCGTCGCTGCTCTGGCGTGCCGCGTCACAGCTTTTTGTCGGCGCGGTTGGCTGGTGGAGCATTCTAATGCTGCGTGAGTGCGGAATAATCGCTTCCATGATGTTCCATGACATTGCATTGATGTGGGCAAGGTTACAACAAGGGGTGAATTGACTTGTATTGACACAATTTGTTCTGATGATTGTGGACGATGCTTACGGTTTGCTCGCAGGGTTTTTCGAAAAGACGCACACGTACAATCTCTCCGCCTTGAGGCATGCCTTGGATCACCGACCTGCCGGCACTCCACTGATTACGATCGCCAACCACGTCTCTTGCCTGGACGAGCCACTCATCTGGGGCACACTGAACTTTGCCGATTTCCAACCGCACCGCATGCGGTGGTCGGTGGGCGCGAGCGACATTTGCTTTACCAACCCGGTCTTTTCCTTCTTCTTCGGGGCAGGCCAAACGCTGCCCATTGTGCGAGGTGCTGGAGTCTATCAGCCTTGTGTACGTCGACCAGACACTTGTCAAAGCCCTCGTTTGTTGTGCAGGAGTTGCTGACTTGCGTTTCCAATGTTTTTCGTTTCTTTTTTGGTGTGTATGTGTGTGGGCAGATGGATTTTGCAGTCGAGCTGCTCAATGCTGGTCGATGGATTCACATCTTCCCGGAGGGCAAAGTCGTTCAAACTGGCAACATGATCCCGTTCAAGTGGGGCGTCGGGCAGCTGATTGTAAGGTCTGCGACAACGCCTGTCGTCGTGCCAATCTATCATCGAGGTATGGCCTTGTTGCTGAGACTTGACACGCACCATTTTGAGGGGATTGGATGGCTGACAAGAGCTGGTTTCGATTGTTCTCCTCTTTTTTTTTTTTCCTTTTTTTTTCCTGAACCGATGCAGGGCTGGAAGACGTCTTGCCGGAATCCTTCCGACCTCGCATCCCACGTCCGTTCAAGCGGGTAGATGTTCTGTATGGCGAACCGATCGAGCTCGACGAATTGCTCGCATCTCACCGAAAACGAGGCTCGGACGAGCAAACCATGCGCAAGGCCGTGACGGATCTTCTTGAAGCGAGGATGCATGAGCTGAAGTGCGAGTTTGAGCGTCGAGTTGCCTGATGCGAGCTCTCAGTTCCGAGCCAGGGGTGCGATGGATGGTGGATGTCGAGTTCTGCTGTAATTTGATGATCGATGAGTTTCCTTCAAGGCGACAAGCTAATAAATGCCTCATTTTTCACTTGCATTGCACACAACTATCGTTTTTGCCATATTTCCACTTTTGGTCAAGCTTCATTCTTAGTTTTCTCTGTTTTCTCTCTCTCTTTTACCAACACAATGTCGAAAGTGGCGCGCCAAGCCAGCAACTCGTCGAGCTACTCGGATGACAACTACTCTGACGACGCGTTCGACGACGACGACAACGACGACGACGACGACTATGCGATGGACATTGAGGCCGACGATGAGCCCAGCAAAGCCAAGGTACGAACGTCAGTTCAGTGGGCAACGTAACCAAAGGGAAAAAAAAAAACAATGAAAAAAAAAAAAGCTGGCAAAAAACAAGTCCTGTCATGCAGAAGTGGGGGCCCAAGGAGGAGGGGGGGGGGGCAGGAGCACCGGACGACCCCTCATGCGTGTCGAGCAGCACAGACGCTTGCTTTTCGGACGGCGCCAGGTCGCTCTGGTCGCACGAGCGCGTCCGAAACTGCGATCTCGGAAAACTTAAAAAAAAAAAAAAAAAAAAAAAGACAAAGACGAGCTTTTTGCCGCCAAACAAGCGCCGTGCGACGAAGAAGAAGTGTGCAATGCGTTGTCGCGGTTGGTGTGGTGGCATTGCGGGAGGCGACTTCTTGTTGAACAACTGTTGCAGCGCACGTTGGGTTTCTGACCAACCGAGCCTGCACCCCCCAAAAGCCGCGTCTCATTGAGAGACAGATAGAGACAGATAGCAGACTCGATGACGAGCGAAAATGAGGCGAAAATAGTGCTGGTTGGCTTTGTCACTCATCAGCTCGCTCACTTTGACTTTGCATTGACTTTGGCTTTGGCTGTTGGTGGGGCGTTTGCAGGACGAGGGATTCCACTCGGAAGTCCTGATGCCAAAGGACATTATCAGCACACAGATTCAAGCCATCGAGGACGTCAATAACATCTTTCAGGTACGGACAATGAAACAAAAAAAAAAAAAAATAAAAAAAATAAAAAGGCGCTTTTTCTTCTTCTTCTTCCGTTTCGTGTGTTTGCGCTCACTTTCATTGACGTCCGTTGCTGTTGCGCTCTTGCTGATGCACACACAAAACCCCATTGCAGATTCCACCATCAACGGCGCGGATCCTGCTGCAGTTCTTTGGCTGGGACAAGGAGCGACTTGTCGAGAGGTAAGCTGTCTCAGTTGTCGTTTGCGCGCTTTTTTACATTTCTTTTTTCTGGCTGTTTGCTGACGATGGATGGACATGCACTTTAGATACTATGACGGTGATCAAGATCGTCTGTTTGAGGAAGCACACATTATCAACCCACACAAGCTGCCTCGACAGGATGTGAGTTTTCGTGCTTGCTGGTTTTTCTTCTTCTTTGTGTGTGTTTTGTGTGTGGTGCTTGCAAGCTTGACCCGGCGTGGTTGGCTTTGGTCGCGCACACTGTGCTGTCGCTGACTGCTTCTTGCCGCACGCTTTCGCTCGTCCTTGTCCGCCACAGTCAAATACAGAGCACAAGGAAATGACTTGCGAGATTTGCTACGTGGACTACCCGCGCAAAGACATGACCGGATTGCCATGCAACCATCGGTTTTGTCGACACTGCTGGGTGTCCTATCTGCAGTCCAAGATTATGGATGAGGGAACGGGCGAGAAGATCACCTGTCCTGCGCACCAGTGCCCAATCGTTGCCGACGAGGTGACCATCAGCCACCTTCTCCAGGGGCACCCGGAGATTCAGGCTCGCTACGAATTTTTCGTTGCCAAGGCTTTCGTGCAGGTAAGGAATTGATAAAGTTTTTTGTCGTACCATGTTTTCGCTTTTTTTCCAGTGTCGGAGGTTTTTTTTTTTCCGAATTTTTGTTTTGCAATCCTTTTCTTTTTGTGCTCACCCCTTGTTCTCTCCCCCTCCCCCTCCTTGCCTCAGGGAAACAAACTCGTCAAGTGGTGCCCCGCCCCTGGCTGCGAAAACGCAGTGCGTGTTAATACTGTAGAAGCCCGACCGGTCAAGTGCAAGTGCGGGCACGCGTGGTGCTTTGGATGCCAGCAACCCACGCACGAGCCCGTTCACTGCCCCACACTCAAAGCATGGCTCAAGAAGTGCGCCGACGACTCGGAGACTGCAAACTGGATTTCAGCCAACACGAAAGAGTGCCCGCGATGCAAGACGACCATTGAGAAGAACGGCGGCTGCAACCACATCACCTGCCGCTCGCTCAACTGCAAGTACGAATTTTGCTGGTCTTGCCTCGGCGCCTGGGAACCACACGGCGCGAGCTGGTACAACTGCAGCCGCTTTGACGAGAAGGACAGCATGCAAGCGCGCGATCAGCACTCGCGCTCGCGCGTCTCGCTCGAGCGATATCTCCACTACTACAACCGGTACCACAACCACGAGCAGAGCCAAAAGTTTGAGCAGCAGCTCTTCGCCAAGGTAGACAAGAAGATGGAGGAGTTCCAGCAGCGCGGCATGTCGTGGATTGAAGTCCAGTTCCTCAAGAAGGCCGTCGAAGTCTTGTGCTTGTGTCGCCAAACGCTCAAGTACACGTACGTCTTTGGCTTTTATCTGCGAAAGAACAACCAAGCAGTCATTTTTGAAGACAACCAGAAGGATCTTGAAATGGCTGTCGAGACGTTGTCGCAGTATCTCGAGCAAGACATGGACAGCGCAACTGGATCAGCTTCTTCGTCTTCGTCTTCTTCATCTTCGTCGTCGTCATCTTCTTCATCTTCGGCTGCTACCACCGCACAGGCCACCAGCAACCCCACTGTTCTTGCCGACATTAAGCAACGGGTTTTGGACAAGTCCCAGTATTGCGAATCTCGCCGAAAAGTGCTTCTCGACCACGTCCAGGATGGTTACGAGCAGGGCGTGTGGGAATTTGATGCCGCAGGCAACTAATCGTGCTCGATAACTTCTGAAGATGCTATAGTTCTGGCGCCATCAAAGTTGTAGAATGACTTGGGCGGAGCGGTTTGTATTGGTTTTTTTTCTTGCGCGCTCTTCCTGGTTTGGCCGCCCCCATTTGTGCGATGTGTTTTGATTCCAGTGTGTGTGCGTGTGTGCGTAAGCGTGTGCGTAAGCGTGTATACGAGTTTTTGATATTTGTTGGTCATTTTTAATGAAAGCATTGAGCCATCTCGTTTGGTGTCAGTTCAAGTACGTTTCGAGATGATGCGAGCTGCGAGTGAGTACCTGAATAGATCGACGATGGTGCACAGGCATGTCTTTCGAGCGAGATTGAAACAAAAGCCGAATTTCAAACATCGGACTCTGCCCTCGTGCTTCGCTTTCATACACAATAAAAGCCGTGAGCCAGGTACCAACCTCATAAAGTCTTGGCTTCTATTCTGGTAATCACTTTTTTTGTTCACATACATACAACTGCGGAATCTACACAAAACACAAAAAATACTGTCTTTCTTTTCAAATGATCTCTAGTCTTGAATCTTGAGGATGCTCTTGGACTCCACAGCCTCCATCTCCTTCAACATGTATGCAACGTTGTATCGCAGCTCGTGGAACTTGTCTGTGGACAGCTCAACTGTCTTGATGCTCTTGTCGGACAAGTGCAACTGCAAGGTGATGGTGGGTTTGAGTGCTCGCGACAGCGACGACGTCGAGATGGTCACGTCCGTGCGCCACTTGAGACCGTCAACTGTTGGGTGCCGAGGCTTGTAGTCATGGATGGACTGCTCGAGTGCTTCGCGACTGTCAAAATCGAGAAAAAGGAGTTGTGAGCGAACTCTCCAAGCATCCATCGCTCACACTTTCGACAACGAAATCATATGTGGTCGCTGAATGCTCGAACACAAATCAATGCGCTTTCTTGCTCACCTTTGGCCATAGACGATGGTGGCGAGATCGACGACGAATTCTGGAGGGAATTTGAGCTCCTTGAGGTCTTCCTTAAATGTGTCCTGCTTGAGCGAGGTGCGCGGCTGGCGGATGGCGCATCGCAGGATGGTTGTGATGCCTGTCAGCACGACGGCCAGCGTCTCCTCGGAGAGAGTCGGGGTTGCCAATCCATGGACCAGTGAATCGTCCTCGGCGCGACCCTGCAGCTCAAGCAACGCAACTAACAACACCGAGAACCCAGTTCCAGCGCAGTGAGATGACGCTGTCCCTGCCTCTGCCAGACTAACGACGAGTGTTGGTTTGATTGGAGCGAGGTGGGATGTGAGTGGGAGCGCGATGGCTGCTTGTGTGGATGAATGGCAAGTGACTGAAAGCGAAAATTGAGATCACGAGTTATGAGTTGAACCTCGCCTCACTGCTCAATCCTCAATCGACAGGGCAGAGTGGCAGCCCACTGGCAACATCACTTCAACACTGGTGGAATGGGAGAGCGAACGCACGCTGGACGAGCTTGCGGAAGGTTGGCTTGTCGAGCTTCTCAATGAGCCGTGTCGTCTTGCGAATCTCAACGGGAATCCGAGCGCCAACAAAGAGCGTGCGATCTGAGGCAGCAGCCGACATTGTGGACAAGAAATGAAAAGTAAAATAAAGGACTGTGGATTTGATTCGTTGATATGATCGTGGTCTGAGAAGAAGAAGAACCGGGTTGTGCCAAGCCAAATTCATTGATCAAACTGAAACAAATTTCAATGACAACAGGAAAAGCAACAGATGCCAAGGAAAAGCAGAAAGTTGAAGATGAAGAGAGCTTGAGACACGGAAGGGGCGAGAGGAGAGACGCGCCAGGGAGGGGGTTGGGGATTTTGCACTCAAAATCCACAGAGCAGAAACATCACAAGGGACAATCCGAAGGAAGAAGGAAGGGCGGAGCGA